CCCTCGTCCTCGCCACGACCAATGGCACATTACCCACTCGTCGCCCTCGTCCTCGCCACGACCAATGGCACATTACCCACTCGTCGCCCTCGTCCTCGCCACGACCAATGGCACATTACCCACTCGTCGCCCTCGTCCTCGCCACGACCAATGGCACATTACCCACTCGTCGCCCTCGTCCTCGCCACGACCAATGGCACATTACCCACTCGTCGCCCTCGTCCTCGCCACGACCAATGGCACATTACCCACTCGTCGCCCTCGTCCTCGCCACGACCAATGGCACATTATCCACTCGTCGCCCTCGTCCTCGCCACGACCAATGGCACATTACCCACTCGTCGCCCTCGTCCTCGCCACGACCAATGGCACATTACCCACTCGTCGCCCTCGTCCTCGCCACGACCAATGGCACATTACCCACTCGTCGCCCTCGTCCTCGCCACGACCAATGGCACATTACCCACTCGTCGCCCTCGTCCCCGCCACGACCAATGGCACATTACCCACTCGTCGCCCTCGTCCCCGCCACGACCAATGGCACATTACCCACTCGTCGCCCTCGTCCTCACCACGACCAATGGCACATTACCCACTCGTCGCCCTCGTCCTCGCCACGACCAATGGCACATTACCCACTCGTCGCCCTCGTCCCCGCCACGACCAATGGCACATTACCCACTCGTCGCCCTCGTCCTCGCCACGACCAATGGCACATTACCCACTCGTCGCCCTCGTCCTCGCCACGACCAATGGCACATTACCCACTCGTCGCCCTCGTCCTCGCCACGACCAATGGCACATTACCCACTCGTCGCCCTCGTCCTCGCCACGACCAATGGCACATTACCCACTCGTCGCCCTCGTCCTCGCCACGACCAATGGCACATTACCCACTCGTCGCCCTCGTCCTCACCACGACCAATGGCACATTACCCACTCGTCGCCCTCGTCCTCGCCGGGAATATAAAACATTACGAGTGTCGAACCGCCAAGATTTATGACCTCTCTTATGTCAGCTTTATCAGTGGTGTGGTGGAGGTCCCGGAGTCCCGGCACGCGCACGCACGCACACAAGCACACACCCACGCACGCACGCACGCACATGCGCACACGCGCGCACACACACACACACACACACACACACACACACACACACACACACACACACACACACACACACACACACACGAACACACACGCACACACCTTACTGCTTCACTGCTGAGTGGACAGCGGTCTGGGGTCGTAGTCTTCAGAGGCCGGGTTCGATCTCCAGCGGAGGCAGAAACAAATGGGCATATTCTCCCTGTTCACCTAGCAGTAAATAGGTACCTGGGAGTTTGACAGCAGCTACGGGCTGCTTCCTGGGGATGTGTGTGTGCGTGAGTGTGTAAGAGGTTAGAAAAGCGGGTTTGTATCCTAGCCCGCAGATACAAATAGTAAATACAAACACACGGGTTAATACCTAACATGAGATCTTACAAATCTATATAGAAATATGTAAACAAAACAGCCTACGAAGATGTAGAAGACACCAAACTCAACACAGACTCTGCTAATATTCCAGCTCGGTTATCCAAGACCAATCTAGATTGAATTATTATCTTTACTGATAAAATTAATATACAATTTTGCCTAATCGGAGTAACTCAATTAGGTGTTATTACAGTGATGATGATGCTCATTATCACTGCCACACGGGGCAGGAGATGGTGTAGACGGCGGGAGGTGATGGTGTAGACGGCGGGAGGTGATGGTGTAGACGGCGGGAGGTGATGGTGTAGACGGGGGGAGGTGATGGTGTAGACGGCGGGAGGTGATGGTGTAGACGGCGGGAGGTGATGATGTAGACGGCGGGAGGTGATGGTGTAGACGGCGGGAGGTGATGGTGTAGACGGCGGGAGGTGATGGTGTAGACGGCGGGAGGTGATGGTGTAGACGGCGGGAGGTGATGGTGTAGACGGCGGGAGGTGATGGTGTAGACGGCGGGAGGTGATGATGTAGACGGCGGGAGGTGATGGTGTAGACGGCGGGAGGTGATGGTGTAGACGGCGGGAGGTGATGGTGTAGACGGCGGGAGGTGATGGTGTAGACGGCGGGAGGTGATGGTGTAGACGGCGGGAGGTGATGGTGTAGACGGCGGGGAGGTGATGGTGTAGACGGGGGGAGGTGATGTTGTAGACGGCGGGAGGTGATGGTGTAGACGGCGGGAGGTGATGGTGTAGACGGCGGGAGGTGATGGTGTAGACGGCGGGAGGTGATGGTGTAGACGGCGGGAGGTGATGGTGTAGACGGCGGGAGGTGATGGTGTAGACGGCGGGAGGTGATGGTGTAGACGGCGGGAGGTGATGGTGTAGACGGGGGGAGGTGATGGTGTAGACGGCGGGAGGTGATGGTGTAGACGGCGGGAGGTGATGGTGTACACGGCGGGAGGTGATGGTGTACACGGCGGGAGGTGATGGTGTACACGGCGGGAGGTGATGGTGTAGACGGCGGGAGGTGATGGTGTAGACGGCGGGAGGTCGGGAAAGATGAGGGAATGAAACTTTCAGGTAACTGAAAAGAAACCAATTAAGAAAACACAGGGAGAAGAAAACAGAACAGCAGGGCTGCTGGAGAGAGTAATTGGGAACCTCCAAGAAGAAATCACCTCACACACAGTTACTGAAAAGTGAGGGAGAAAATAAATAAAAGAGGAAATAAATAAAACCCAATATATATAATTTACATTTTGTATAGAGAGAACTGCCTCCCTACCTTTCGCAGGCACGTTTATAAAGCAAGATGGAGACTATAAAGCTCATAGTCGTCAGAAAACCAAATTTGTTTACCTTTGATCACTTATGATAAGAGAACGAGACGAGGGATGGTGAGAAAATATTAGTGCCCTATGATGCCTTCACAGATACGCCGCGTTATTGTGTTCTTCATTGTGCATTGATAGTGGTTTACCTCTGTATTTGACCATTTAGAAATTTCTGGCTTACAATCTTATCAAAATTTATCAACAGTAACACCCGTGGCATAGTGGTAACACACTAGCTCCTCGTCTCGTGATCAATTTCATCTGGGTTCGAGCCCTGACCATGTAGGATTGACTGGGCGCCAATTCACAATTGTTCGCCCCTGTCCACCCAGCAGTATCTGGAAACCCGGTTTGTAAACCGATTTCTGGGTTGTAGTGTTTCATGAAAATCAAGTAGAGTAAGGCTTAAAATGAGCTATGGAAAGGGAAGGTTCTAAGCCCGCTGACGAGGTCGGGATTTCCAAACAGAAGAGGCAGCAAACATATCTAACACGTCAGGTTGGATAACAAGAACCGTCCAAACTAGAGATGCTATACCAATGATGATACTAGTCAAGACGCTAGTGCTCTAGACGCTTGCACAATGACAGCTTTCAAAGCTGGAGATATTGCTGACCTGGAGAGCGTGCAGAGATCCTTTACTGTTATAAGCCACTCAGTAAAACATCTAAACTATCCCGAACGACTAAAATGCCTAAACCTAAAATTTCTCTATGGCGCAGGCGGGAGAGATACATAATAATTTACACGTGGAAAATTGTAGAGAGGCTGGTCCCAAACATGTACACAGAAATAACATCACATGAGACCAGAAGGCATGGCAGGATGTGCAGAACAATCCCGATGAAGAGCAGAGGGGCAACAGGTGCTCTAAGAGAGAACTATCAACATCAGAGGCCCGAGACTGTTCAACACGCTTCCACTACACACAAGGGACATAACTGGCCGACCCCTCACAGTGCTCAAGAGCAAACTCGATAAACACCTCCAAAGGACATCTGATCAACCAGGTTGTGATTCATACGTCAGGCTGCGAGCAGCCGCGTCCAACAGCCTGGTTGACCAGTCCAGCAACCAAAAGGCTTGGTCGGGGACCGGGCCGCGGGGACGTTGAGCCCCGAAATCATGGGGGGTAACCTTAAGGTAACACCCGCACTGAAGCCATTACAGGCACAAAACCTCCTCCTTCAACATCCTCGTCAGGAGCAGAACAGAATCATTACAGCCAGAAGTGAAAACAAAGTCTTGTAGAAACTGTGACGATGTTTATATTGGAGACAAACTTAGATCAGAGGATTTGAGAATGTAAATATTTGTCTCAAGAGGCTGAGAGCACCAACTCATCACGCACAACCACCACGAACAACACCATACCAACTTTAAGGATGCTAAAATACCCATCACAAAAGAAAACATTAGAAGACAGAGTATACAAACTCCAGCCACCAAACACTGCAACACCAGCGGAAAGAATTGCACGAATTTTGGTATCGTTAACAAACTTTGTACTTCAAAAAATACATTTTATGATCAACTTATTTCCACGCTTAATGTCTTAACCCAACTTCACCTCAACCTTCTTTTTCCTTCATAAGCAGCTAACTTTGTGGATTTTATTCAGCCCGTCCTCCTAAGGTCTCCTAACATCAAGAAACTGTCGTACTAAAGTGTCCTCTCCTAACCTACCAGAGGACACAAAATAGAAAACGGGACGTCTGTTTATAACGTCACTTTTGCGAGCCGCTCCCATTTTCTAGCACGACAATTTCCACCACATTATATTTTTATTTATTCATTTTCTAGCACGACAATTTCTGGCCTTAGGTAGAGTACACCTCAAAATGCGACGTTCTATTAGAAGGACGGGTTGGCACTTGCAGTCTGGTTGTTGGGAGGTTCCTGCTGCCATGATCGTTTTCGTTTTCTTGATGTACCGACTTTCTAGTTCTTCTGGCGAGCCTGTAACGTATTAATGTCTTGTGTTTACCCCCTGCGCAGGGTGCTGACCTTCTGGTATCTGCCGGTGTTCAACGCCTGGCTGCTGTTGTGCCCCTGGACGCTGGCACACGACTGGCAGATGGGCTCCATACCGCTCATCACCTCTGTCATAGATACCAGGAACATCGCTTCTCTTTTGTTCTACGGCGCCCTTGTACTTATACTCAGAGCTGGATGCTTGATGAAGGTAATATAATATTTGCCAGCGTTGCTGTTGTGTTTTATCTGTATTATTTACACCCACCACACACACACACACCTGCCTACCCCAACACACACACACACACATACCTACCTATCCTCTACCACACACACCTGCCTATCCTCCACCACACACACCTGCCTACCCCAACACACACACACACACACCTACCTATCCTCTACCACACACACCTGCCTATCCTCCACCACACACACCTGCCTACCCCAACACACACAAACCTGCCTACCCCAACACACACACACACACACGTACCTATCCTCTACCACACACACCTGCCAATCCTCCACCACACACACCTGCCTATCCTCCACCACACACACCTGCCTACTCAACTACCCAATCCGATTTTTATATGTAACCTGCATACGCTGGTGTAGATAACGGAGTTTTCGACCAAACGCTCATGTGAAATATCATGTTACTGTGACAGAATTGTGTATTTAACTGAAGCGTTTGGTTGATAACTCCATTCCCTCCACCAGTGTACGCGGGTTACGTGTAAAACTTGCAACAGATACCAGCTCAATGCCTACACATTCCTAGTGGGGCTCGGCCACACTCCAGGTTGTGTAACTCTTAGCATATCTTTCGTCTATGGGTACAGCGTGCGTCTGGGGCGAACCACGACGTTGGTTCGACGCCCCCCTAATATACGTTTGATAGCCTAATATCTGCTATCCTAGGCTTATATATTAATTATATTTATTTATATGTATGGTGTATGTATAAAATATATATATATATATATATATATATATATATATATATATATATAATATATATATATATATATATATATATATATATATATATATATATATATATATATATATATATATATATATATATATATATATATTATATATATATATATATATTATATATATATATATATATATATATATTATATATATATATTATATATATATATTATATATATATATTATATATATATATATATATATATATATATACATATATATATATATATATATATGTCGTATCTAGTAGCCAGAACACCCTTCTATACCTACTATGCAAGGCCCGATTTGCCTAATAAGCCAAGTTTTTCTGAATTAATATATTTTCTCTAATTTTTTTCTTATGAAATGATAAAGCTACCCATTTCATTATGTATGAGGTCAATTTGTTTTTAATGGAGTTAAAATTAACGTCGATATATGACCGAACCTAACCAAACCCTCCCTAACCTAACCTAACCTAACCTATCTTTATAGGTTAGGTTAGGTTAGTAGCCGAAAAAGTTAGGTTAGGTTAGGTTAGGTTAGGTAGTCGAAAAACAATTAATTCATAAAAACTTGGCTTATTAGGCAAATCGGGCCTTGCATAGTAGGCTATATATATATAATATATATATATATATATATATTATATATATATATATATTATATATATATATATATATATATATATATATATGCATTCAGACACACACACACATGCCTAAAATATCTACACAAGAGTTCCCAGAGAATATGAGCGGTGCGTGTCCTCTCCTGGTATGGTCTTCCCTAATCCCAGGAAGGAGAATGTTATATCTTACTACCAATCATCCACTGCCTTCTCCCCGTTTGCACTACTCTCTATCTCAAGTATTCAACTCCCTCCTCTGTGACGATAGAAGGCTGGGAAATCACTTCGCAACTTCAAACATTTCATTTTTTCTGACTTCTCCATCTTTTCCTCACTCATGCTGCCCCTCTCTCTCTCTCCCTCTCTCTCTCTCTCTCTCTGCAGCTTCGAGTTTACTTGCTCCTTCCACTAATGTTCTACCATTTTGGTTAAACCCACTTGCATTATTCTTCCAAAACTCACAATATGATTGTGAATTTGCTGACTCATCTGCTCTTCGACTCTAACCACAGACTCATTCGTTCACCGCCTACATCCATCCGTCCATCCGTCCATCCCTTTCCCTCCACTCCCCCCCCCCCACTATCATGCCTCGTACTCTGCCCCTCTGGCCTGGCATTAAGGAACATATAATCTCTTCCCATAACCAACCATCGCCAGAGAAATCCTAGTAAACAACACAGAAATCATCGATAGATACAGCGATAGCAGGCGGCTTGACGTTTGCGAGGCACTACACATCAAGAAGTCAACACCAGCAATCAACAGCCAATTATTGCACAACTATATTCTACCCACCTCAAGACTCCGCTCCAATATAGAAGCATCAAGAAATATGGACCAATAGGCTTTCTACAAACACTTCTATTCAATATCCATTGTTTCGTGTTCTGTCTTGTGTTGATACTTTTAATAACCTATTAATATCCTCTAATGCCACATCATCCTTCCCACCTCACTCAAATGTAATGCCACATCACCCTTCCCACCTCACTCAAAAGTAGATATAAAATCAGGGAAATGCAAGTTCTAATCAGTTGTGTATTTGTGAAGTCTTTGAAAATGTAATAAGTTTTACGAAACGCGCCCGTGTCGCGTCAGACTAGAAATAAAAATGAATTTTGGAGAAGTGATTTTTGATTTACCTTCAACAGTGAAGCATAATGTACGAAAGATTGAGAAAATTCGTGTTAGAATTATTAATCTTACTTTTTCGGTCATATTTAATAAAATATGTCTACAGGAAAGACTGCCACCAAAATATATATATATATATATATATATATATATATATATATATATATATATATATATATATATCTATATATGTCGTACCTAGTAGCTAGAACGCACTTCTCAGCCTACTATGCAAGGTCCGATTTGCCTAATAAGCCAGGTTTTCA